ATTTCAATCTTTTGGAATTTACTGACGCTCTTTTTGTGGGCTAGTATTGGTCTATTCTGGAGAATGTTCCATGTGCACTTGAGAAGAATGTATATCCGGTTGCTTTTGGATGTAGAGTTCTATAGATGTCTATTAGGTCCATCTGTTCTACTGTGTTGTTCAGTGCCTTCGTGTCCTTACTTATTTTCTGCCCGGTGGATCTATCTTTTGGGGTGAGTGGCGTGTTGAAGTCTCCTAAAATGAATGTATTGCATTCTATTTCCCCCTTTAGTTCTGTTAGTATTTGTTTCACAAATGCTGGTGCTCCTGTGTTGGGTGCATATATATTTAGAATGGTTGTATCCTCTTGTTGGACTGAGCCCTTTATCATTATGTAGTGTCCTTCTTTATCTCTTGTTACTTTCTTTGTTTTGAAGTCTATTTTGTCTGAGATTAGTACTGCAACCCCTGCTTTCTTCTCGCTCTTGTTTGCCTGAAATATGTTTTTCCATCCCTTGACTTTTAGTCTGTGCATGTCTTTGGGTTTGAGGTGAGTTTCTTTGTAAGCAGCATATAGATGGGTCTTGCTTTTTTATCCATTCTATTACCCTGTGTCTTTTGATTAGTGCATTAAGTCCATTTATATTTAGGGTGACTATTGAGAGAGATGTATTTTTTGCCTTTGCAGGGTTTAAATTTGTGGTTACCAAAGGTTCAAGGTTAGCCTCTTTAGTATCTTACTGCCTAACTTAGCTCACTTATTGAGGTATTATATACACTGTCTAGAGATTCTTTTCTCTTCCTTCTTATTCCTCCTCCTCCATTCTTCATATGTTGGGTGTTTTGTTCTGTGCTCTTTTTAGGAGTGCTCCCATCTAGAGCACTCCCTGTAAGATGCCCTGTATAGGTGGTTTGTGGGAAGCAAATTCCCTCAGCTTTTGCTTGTCTGGGAATTGTTTAATCCCGCCATCATATTTATATGATAGTCGTGCTGGATATAGTATCCTTGGTTCAAGGCCCTTCTGTTTCATTGCGTTAAATATATCATGCCATTCTCTTCTGGCCTGTAGGGTTTCTTTTGAGAAGTCTGATGATAGCCTGATGGGTTTTCCTTTATAGGTGACCTTTTTCTCTCTAGCTGCCTTTAAAACTCTTCCCTTGTCCTTGATCTTTGCCATTTTAATTATTATGTGTCTTGGTGTTGTCCTTCTTGGATCCTTTCTGTTGGGGGTTCTGTGTATTTCCGTGGTCTGTTCGATTATTTCCTCCCCCAGCTTGGGGAAGTTCTCAGCAATTATTTCTTCAAAGACACTTTGTATCCCTTTTCCTCTCTCTTATTCTTCTGGTACCCCTATAATATGAATATTGTTCCTTTTGGATTTGTCACACAGTTCTCTTAATATTGTTTCATTCCTGGAGATCTTTTTATCTCTTTCTATGTCAGCTACTATGCGTTCCTGTTCTCTGATTTCTACTCCTTCAATTGCCTCTTGCATCTTATCCATTCTGCTTATAAATCCTTCCAGCGTTTGTTTCACTTCTGTAATTTCCTTCCTGGCATCTGTGATCCCCCTCCGAACTTCTTCTGATTGCTCTTGGATTTTTCTCTGCATCTCTGTCAGCATGTTTATGATTTTTATTTTGAATTCTTTTTCGGGAAGACTGGTTAGGTCTGTTTCCTTCACTGGTGTTGCCTCTGTGATCTTGCTTTGCCTGTAATTTTGCCTTTTCCTGGTGACAGAAATAGTTTGCAGAGCTAGAACGAGTGACGGCTGGAAGAACTTCCCTTCTTGTTGGTTTGTAGCCTTCCTCTCCTGGGAGAACAGTGACCTCTAGTGGCTTGTGCTGGGCAGCTGGGCGCAGACAGGGCTTCTGCTTCCTGCCCGGCTGCTATGGAGTTTATCTCCGCTTTTGCTGTAGGTGTGTCCTGGCTCTGGCTGCTGCTCCAAAATGGTGGAGCCTCATTGGAGGGGGAGCGGCCAGGAGGCTATTTATCTCCATAAGGGGCCTCTGTGCTCCCTGTTGCCCAGGGGGTTAGAGTGCCCAGAGATCCCCAGATTCTCTACCTCTGGACTAAGTGTCCCGCCCTGCCCCTTTAGGACTTCCAAAAAGCATTTGCCAAAGCAAAACAACAACAACAACAAAAATTAAAAAAAAACAAACAAACCGATTGCTTTTCTTTGTCCTCAGGTGCCCGCCTCAGGCACCTGCTCACCGGTCTTGCTGCCTGTTTCCCTAGTATTGGGGTCCCTGTCCCTTTAAGACTTCTAGAAAGCACTCTCCAAAAAAAAAGAAAAAAAATGGCTGCTCACTTTTGTTTGTTCTCCTGCGCCGGCCTCCGTTACCCGCTCATCGGTCTTGCTGGCCTGTTTCCCTAGTATCCAGGACCCCACGCATGCACTGTGTCTGCTCTCTGGTCCGGATGGCCGGGGCTGGGTGTTTAGCAGCCCTGGGCTCCCTCTCCCTCCCCCCTCTGACTCCTCTCCTCCTGCCGGGAGCTGGGGGGAGGGGTGCTCGGGTCCCTCGCGACTGGGGCTTGTATCTTACCCCCTTCGTGAGGCGCTGGGGTCTCGCAGGTGTGGATGTGGTCTGGATGTTTTCCTGTGTCCTCTGGTCTGTATTCTAGGAAGAGTTGTTTTTGTTATATTGTTATAAATATATGTGGTTTTGGGAGGAGATATCCACTGCTGTACTCACGCCACCATGTTGGCTCTGCAGGGTGGTTTTGAATATTTCTTCATACCTTTCATGTCCCCCTCCCTCAACCTAAGAGGTAGCTACTCTTTTGAATTGTGTTAATATTTTTTAATGTTTTAAACATGTATTCCTAGACAATGTATTATTTTAGTTTTGCCTGTTCTTAAGGTTTTAGTACAATCTTACTATGTTAGTCATTAACTTGCTTTTTTTATTCAACCTTATGATTTTGAAATTCCTCCGTATTGATTATGTTCAATACTTACTGTGTTTTCACTGTGTACATTATTTCAGTATTTGACTATATTATGGACCTTTAGGTTTCTGACTTTACTGTAATTAATTAATATAATTTACTATAATTAATTAATATAATTAATATCTTGTAAATGTGTATTGAGTTTCTCTTGGTCATATACCTAGGAATGAAATGACTGGAGTATAGGTAATGTATATGCATCTTTGTTGGATATTGATAAGTAGTAATTAAACTACTTAATTATGAGTATTTTCTAATTTTCTATTTGATTTATGAGTTTAAAGTCTATTTTTAAAATTTCAAATACACAATTTTTTGTTATCAATTTTTAGCTTAATTGTCAACTAATAATATCTGTACCTTACAAATTCTTTGGCATCCGTTGAAATTTTTGTTTTATAGTCTAATGTGTAGTCAAGGTTTAGCCAGGTTTTAGTCAATTACGTAAATACTCCACATATGTTTGAAAATAATTCATTATCTACTTGTTGGGTACATGAGTTCATGTATACTTATTAACTTCTCTAATTTTACTGATTATTTGTCCAAGACAGGCATATTCCCCATTATGATAATAAATTTTGTCAGTTTCCTATAAATACAATCATTTTTGCTTTACATATTTTCCTTCAGGCTTTGTTATTAGGTACATATGGGTTTAGATTTTTTTTTAACTATTATATAATGATCTTTTTTATCTCTGATAATGTTTTTGCAGTAAAGTCTGTGTTTTCTGATAATCCTATAGCTATTACTAGCTTTTTAATTGTGTATTTTGCTGGTATTTTAAAAAACATACTTTAAAGTTTTATTTATCCTCATGTTTAACATCTTTAGTATGTCTCTTGTAAGCTGCATAAAACCAGAGTTCATTTATTCATTCTGAATTTTCTTTTAACTGCTAAGTTAATCTGTTTACATTTATTACTATTACTCATATACCTATACTTATTTCTACTATCTTACTATGTGTTTTCTATTTACCCCCTGCTCTTTTTCTCTGTTTTTTCTCTTACCTATTTTCTATTGGTTTGAAAACTGTTCTTCATTACTCTTTCCTTTCTGATTACCCTTAAAATTTTACTTGGATTTGACTTTGCAAAGTCTTAGGTTAAAATCACTATGTCTGCTATTTTTCCAAAGGACTGCGGAGAGCTTTAACACCAGTTACCCTCCACCAGTCTTAGCTTTTGACCAATATTTTACTTACGTTTTTTAATCACCTAAATTAGTCTTTATTATTGCTGCTGTGACATTTAATTTTTATACTTTCATTGTTTTCTAATACCCCAGGAGATAGTCAACTGTTTAATTAAACTGGTTTTCTCTTTCTCTTCAGATTTTCAAAAGAAACAACCTGATGATGATTCTGCTCCAAGTACAAGTAACAGCCAATCAGATTTGTTTTCTGAAGAGACCACCAGTGACAACAATACCTCAATAACCACGCCAACTCTTAGTCCCAGCCAGCAGCCGCTTCCGACAGAACTGAATGTAACTTCACCAAGTAAAGAGGAATGTAAGTGCCCAGATCCTGTGAAGTGATAGAGAAAGGAGCCCAAAAATCATACCATGAGCTTCTTGGTAGTGCCTTGTCCCAGAAAAAAGATTGCAGCTCTTTGAATTCAAGATTAAGTGTTGACATGTTGGCCCAAGTCAGCAAGTTAGGTAATAAGTTTCAGGAGTTTGATAGAATGTGAAGTTTTTTTTAAAAGACAGACTTTTATGTTAACTGTCAAGGTACATGAGGTTTTGAACCAGTCTAGTGAAGTGGTTCTCAGCCCTGTTTGCAAAATAAGACTCCTTTGGGGATTTTTAAAACAACGTATATCTTTAGCACCATTTTCTGAAGTCTAATTTAATTTGGTCTGGAGGTTGGTCCAGGGATCTATCTGTTCTTTTTTTAACTCTGCAGAGAATTCTGATGTGCAGAAACTGTTGAGAACCACTGATCTAAGGAACTTAATCCTGATTTAGGAATCTTGGATTGAAACCTTACCTCTGTCACTTGAATGAGCCTTGAATGTTTCTAGGCAATTAACAGAAATACTACTATATAGTCATAGAACACAGAGTATTTGAAGGGAAGAGAAAATTGTTTCTGTTACTCTTCTATAAGTTCCCAGTGATAGAATACTATTATCATGCAGTGATATGAAAGATACAGACTTAATCTTTATAATGCTATAATCATCTCCTTTAGGGTACAATAATAATTGATAATGTGTTTGTTTTTCTTGTGAAACCTTCATAAGAGTGTATTTCAATGTACCTTAATAAAAATAATAATAATATGTGTTCAAAATTATAGGAATTTGATGATGCAGTAGTTTTTGCCTTTTAAAACCTTTGCCTAACAGTTGAAATTTGGTGTTTCAAATTTAATGAATGTCTGGAAATATTTGGAATATGGTAGGTTAGAATACTGTGTCTGCTAACTTTCAGAAGATTAGCAGAAAACAGATATTTATCTAAACCCATCATAAACTACTGTACTAGGTAAGATTAAGAATATAAAAGTAAAAAAGGCCACAGTCCCTGTGCTCAAAGAATTTACTATTTAGCAGGGGAAATCAAATCTATTATAGTATCTCAGTGGTTCTCAGCTTGGAGTGATTTTGTTCCCTTCTCCCAACCCAGTGCTGCTAAATACCTTACACTGCATAGGACAGCCCTCCACAACAAAGAATTAGCCAGTCTGACACATCAGTAATGCCAAGGCTGAGAAACCAAAATATATGGTTGTATGCAGCCATTTTAATGGTCCTTATGTATAAAAGACAGTGACTGTTGAAGAATGGTATTGGTTTACTAGAGAAAGTGTTGCAAATAGACACAAAGTGGTGAACAGACATTTTGGACAGAGTAGAATAAGCTGTGGAGTTCTGCAATGGCAAGTGACTCCTTTAGGGCTGTTTATGAAGGACTGGGCTTGAAAGTTACATTATTGCCAAGTCATAGAGGCCTGAATGCTCAGCCAGGATATTTGGATGTTAGTCATGTTTTTGAGTATGGTTCTTTAGAAGAAGTAACCTGGCAATATTGAAAACAGGAAGGGTTATAGTAATATAACATTGAAGAGAGGTAATTTTTTAAATATTGTAATTTATTGAATATAGATGCTAAGGGGGAGGTGTGGAAGTCATTTAGGAGAAGAGAAGAAAAAGGTAGTGGTAATGTTAAGACAATAGGTTTTGTTTAAAAAAAATCTATTCAGGGTCATGTAGTTATTGAGGAACAGATGAAAATTGTGGCCCCCTTGTCTCAGAAAAATACATACCATTCATTTATACCCAATTTAGAATAAAATTTTTTCTTAAGCTCATTATGGCCTTTAGAACTCCCTAAGGGTAAGATTGCAGCTGGTAACAATCTCATCTGATGGAACCACATCTGATTGGGTCTGTGCAGATCACTCAGATCAGGATCAGGTCACAACAAACCAATTTGAGCAGCCAAAATACACGTGAGACTGAGATAACAATAGCTACCATTTATTGAGCATCTATGTGCAAGATATTTTTATGTATGTTTTGCATATTTTATGTTTTATTCCTCATGACAACCCAGTAAGATAGATACTATCATTATCCCCATTCTATAAATAAGGAAACTGGCACAAATAAAACAAATCAAGTAATTTGCCTTTGGTCACAAACTAGTAGATAACAAATCAGTATTCAAATTCAGTCATTTCGCTTCAGAATCAATGCTTTTAATCTGTTAATTCACAATGTAAAATACAACTGTCACAGAGAACAGAGGTATTCATGTTGACAAGATCAGCACTTATCTCTCTATAAGGTATGTTGGAAACCAAAATCATAACCAAGTTACTCTTACTAATTCACTGTTAATCACTGTATAATAATATATAATATGTAATAATATGTTATTTATCATTATTATTTCAAAAATCCTTTTAACAGGGATTGGAAATAAAAATGTATCCATATGACTAAAACATTGTTCTCTGGAGGCAGATTTATGGGAAGTTGATCCATAACAAGGACTTAAATAGCAAATGCAAAAGTATGGACTCAGAACAAATGAATTAAAGAAAGTGATTTTTTAAATGAGTCAGGCTAATTGTCAAGTGCACTCTTAGGACACATTGGGAAGGTCTTGGCTTAGTACAGGATTCCATTTTCATACTGTTTCCCCTCTTTCTGGTCTTAGACCTGTCCTGAGCACTGGAGTCCCTCAGATACACGTCCTATGTTTCTAAAACATGCCACTCTAGGCCACTGTAGATGGCCAGGTTTTTTCTTTCTTTTTTATTTGGTATCATTAATATCCAATCACATGAGCAACATTGTGATTACTAGATTCCCCCTATTAACAAGTCCCCACCACATACCCCATTACAGTCACTGTCCACCTGCATAGTAAGATGCTATAGAATCACTGCTTGTCCTCTCTGCCTTCCCCGGATCCCCCACTACATTATGTGTGCTAATCGTAATGCCCTTTATTCCGCTTCTCCCTCTCTTCACACCCGCCCCTGCTCCCTCCATCCCCCAGTCCCTTTCCCTTTTGTAACTGTTAGTCCATTCTTGGGTTCTGTGAGTCTGCTACTGTTTTGTTCCTTCAGTTTTTTTCTTTGTACTTATACTCCACAGATGAATGAAATCATTTGATACTTTTCGTTCTCTGCCTGGCTTATTTCACTGAGCATAATACCCTCTAGCTCCATCCATGTTGTTGCAAATTGTAGGATTTGTTTTCTTCTTATGGCTGAATAGTATTCCATTGTGTATATCTATCACATCTTCTTTATTCATTCATCTACTGATGGACACTTAGGTTGCTTCCATACCTTGGCTATTGTTAATAGCACAGCAATAAACATAGGTATGCCTATGTATTTCTGTTTTTGGTATCATTAATGTACGATTACATGAGCACCATTATGGTTACTAGACTCCCCCCATTATCAAGTCCCCACCACATACCCCATTATTGTCACTGTCCATCAGCGTAGTAAGATGCTGTCGAATCACTACTTGTCTTCTCTGTGTTATATTACTCTCCCCATGCCCTCTACCCACACATTATGTGTGCTAATAGTAATACCCCTTTTTACCCCTTATCCCTCCCTCCCTTCCCACCCATCCCCGGTCCTTTTCCCTTTGGTAACTGTTGGTACATTATTGGGTTCTGTGAGTCTGCTGCTGTTTTGTTCCTTCATTTTTTGCTTTGTTCTTAATACTCCACAGATGAGTGAAATCATTTGGTACTTGTCTTTCTTCCCCTGGCTTATTTCACTGAGCATAATACCCTCTAACTCCATCCACATTGTTGCAAATGGTAGGATCTGTTTTCTTTTTATGGCTGAATAATATACCATTGTGTATATGTACCACATCTTCTTTATCCATTCATCTTCTGATGTACACTTAGGTTTCTTCCATATCTTGGCTATTGTAAATAGTGCTGTGATAAACATAGGGGTGCATATGTCTTTTTGAAACTGGGCTGCATTCTTAGGGTAAATTCCTAGGAGTGGAATTCCTGGGTCAAATGATACTACTATTTTTAGTTTTTTGAGGAACCTCCATACTGCTTTCCACAATAGTTGAACTATTTTACATTCCCTCCAACAGTGTAAGGAGGGTTCCCCTTTCTCCACATCCTCACCGACATTTGTTGTTTGTCTTTTGGATTGTGGCCATCCTAACTGGTGTAAGGTGATATCTCATTGTGGTTTTAGTTTGCATTTCTCTGATAACTAGCGGTGTGGAGGATCTTTTCATGTGTCTGTTGGCCATCTGAATTTCTTCTTTGGAAAAGTGTCTGTTCATATCCCTTGCCCATTTTTTAATAGGGTTATTGGCTTTTTGGGTGTTGAGGTATATGAGTTCTTGATATATATTGGATGTTAACCCCTTCTAAGATACATCATTTACAAATATATTCTCCGATACTGTAGGATGCCTTTTTGTTCTGCTGATAGTGTCCTTTGCTGTACAGAAGCTTTTTAGCATGATGTAGTCCCATTTGTTCATTTTTGCTTTTGTTTCTGTTGCCTGAGGAGGTGCATTCAGGAAAAAGTTGCTCATGTTTATATTCAAGAGATTTTTTACTATGTTTTCTTCTAAGAGTTTTATGGTTTCATGACTTACATTCAGGTCTTTGATCTGTTTTGAGTTTACTTTACTGTATGGGGTTAGACAATAATCCAGTTTCATTCTCATATATAGCTGTCCAGTTTTGCCAACACCAGCTGTTGAAGAAACTATAATTTCCCCATTGTACGTCCATGGCTCCTTTATCATATATTAATTGACCATGTATGGTTGGGTTTATATCTGGGCTCTCTAGTCTATTCCATTGGCCTATGGGTCTGTTCTTGTGCCAGTACCAAATTGTCTTGATTACTGTGGCTTTGTAGTAGAGCTTGAAGCCAGGGAGTGTAATTCCACCCCACTTTATTCTTCCTTCTCAGGATTGCTTTGGCTATTCAGGGTCTTTTGTGGTTCCATATGAATTTTAGAACGATTTGCTCTAGTTTGTTGA